CGTGTCCCAAATGCTACATATTCTGGCCGTGTTGTGGGAAAATATATTCATAAAAGTACTCTGAGGAGGAAAACTCACACATGTCCAGTATTCTTTAGATGAACATCACGTAACAAAATCCTTCTCCGTAATAAGAAGCTGCAGCTGGAGCAGAGATTCACAGAGATCACTGGAGGCTTAAGGTCTAATCCTGGATTGTTTTTTTTACAATAACGGACGAGCAAAGAGGACATGCACACGCACGTACACACACGTTATTTTGTTGCATATGTTTTTATATTTAAAAAACATGCTTCTAACCCTCATATACCCCATATATATATATGTATTTATATATATACAGTATATCCCTAATTATCTGACAGAGTTCTAAAACCTGTTGCTGAAAGACCTGTTTTTTCCCATGGTACCATTTTAGTCCCTGTTCCTTATTTTTTTTTCATCCGGTCCAATGTAAAGGCAGAGCTGTGTCACTGTGACTGATCAGGTCTCCCTGTCGTCTTCCTGTTGATTCAGATCAATGAGAGAACTCAAAGGATGAACAAAAAAAAAACCATTGTGAAGGAGTTGAAGAATTGATGCTGAGGACTTGGAGTTGAAAGAGGAAAAAAAAGAAAAGAAATAGAAGTCGGTGAGGAGATTGATGGCTGCAGCTGATTGGAGGCCGAGTGGATGTTGAAAGAATCGGTGGGTTTTTGTTTGGAGGCAGACGGAGACGGAGGAGCTCAGGCTTTTTGTTGATGACTTTTGGACCTCCACTCACCCATCGCTCTGCCGCCCCTCTCCCTTATCTCCCATCTTTCCTCACTCCTTGTCCAGATGCAGAGAAGGCAATGATCCTCGTCTTCTCAGCGCGGCAGCTCCTTCATTTCTCACCTGCCCTGTGTATAATGTTTCTCGTTGAAGTACGAGGAGGATCATTCTCCTGTAGTCGTCCAGTAACAGCTCTGTGTTGTCGGCTTCAGCAGCAGTGAGCTGCAGCTTTTGTCTGGCCTCACATTTGTGATTCATCACAGCCGGCATCCTTGGAGGGGAGATTAATCTCACAGTTGTGTTTTCATGTTCGCAGCTTTGAATTGAAGTGAGAGAAGTGGCCGTGGGCAGTCTCTCTCTCTCTCTCTCTCTCTCTCTCTCTCGCTCTCTCTCACCTAGTCAACTCATAAAGGACAGTAAAGAGGTTGTTCGTTTGAATCTCATCTTTCTAACTCTAAATCACATGTGTCAAACTCAGGCCCCGGGGGCCAAATCTGGGCCGCAGTGTAATTATATTTGGCCTGTGAGATCATACCAGATGTGTACTAGAGTTGGCCCTCCAGTATGTAGTACCTAAATACTGGTAGAATCTGTAGTATTAGTGGAGTATGTGCTATGTTTTAGTACGTACATTTTGTTTTTGTTTTGTTTTTTGTTGTTGGCCTGTGAAAGAAAGATTTATACTAAAAAAGATCTGGAAAGGTTACAGATAAAGAGAGATAATAAGAAACTTTAAAAAAGTGTGTTTTTATTTCCAATTTAATTTCTCATGTGTTTATAATATTTATGTTGTATTTCTAGACTAGACCCAAGGATTTTCTGATTAATTTTTAATTAGGCTCTCATTCAGACTGTCTTTCTGTCGATCCATCCATCCATCCTCCCATCGTCCATCTATACATCCATCCATCCATCCATCCTTCTATCCATCCATCCATCCTCCTATCATCCATCCATCCATCCATTCATCCATCCTTCCACGCACCAACGCATCCAAAACTTTTTAGTGAGTCATGTGATCAGCTGTAGTCATGGTAACAGATATTCCAGGTCCTGGCAATCATAGCAGATATGATTATTATGGTCTGTTTCCACTTCCGTCGTTTGCTAACACTAATTAGTGTACGTGTCCTACACCGGTTCCGACCCACTGGTTCATCTTTAATCGGAGTCATTCCGTTTCTCCTCCGTCACAGTAATTGAATTAAACAAGGAAGGACGGGTTTGTTTTTCCCTCTGTTTTAGTTTCGTAAACACTTTGGTCACAGTTGTTTCATCTGCTCCAAATAAAACCTGTCCACGTGGTCTGCAGCGCTGCTCAGCCTACAGACCACAGCCAAACAAATGATAGGAATCAGGACTTGTTGGAACGTGAGTCATGGTGTTGGCCGTCGCCTCTCTGAACGTCCTTGTGAGTTTTTTGATTTGTCAGCACGAAGTGTTAAAGAAGACCTTCTGAGACCAGATCCCCCGAGGGCCTGTCAGGATTATTCCAAAATCAATTCCTGCCAAGGTGGTTTTGTCCAAAGACAGAGAAAAGTCTGGTGTTCTCGTAATGTTTTCAGAACACACTGTAGGTCTGAAAGGCTGAGAACATTCTGTCCCATCGGTTCTCCATTCATCTCAGGTACAGCTCAACAAATGCTGGAGGCTCCAGGTAACTGGAAGAAACGAGGTGGGAAACAAAAAAAAAAAGCCTCCCCTGACGTGAGGGGTTTCTTGGCGTCAAGAAAACAAACACTAACGAGTCGTTCAACAACAAAGAAGTCTTAATTAGTTCAGTATTAGAAGTAAAGAAGCGGAGGCTTGGAGCTGTGGGAGGATTATTTTGGTTTTCTGAGAAGAACTTCTACAAACACACGGCTTCTCTCGCTGCATTAAGCCTCCCACCCAGAGAATTCCAGCAGAATTTTTACAGCAGCTTCTCTGAGCTTGCCTCACCCTGCCTCCCCCTCTTGTTTCAGAAAAAAGCATCACTGACGTTGAGCCTGCAGCTCAGCACGGTCAGATTTACTAAGAGGAGCAAAAGCCTCAGCAACACATCCACATCCACATCCAACCCCCCCCCGAACCCACCTCTCTGACCATCTAAACCATCACCTTTCCACTCGGGGGCAGACACGAGCCCAGATGTGATGATGAACTCAACACAGTAACTTTGAATGTCAAAAACTGACCAAAACTTATGTGAAACAATCCAAGCATAATTCCCCTTTAAGCTCAGGGATTATGGCCCAGAATCTCCAGCAAGGTGTATAATTGGTTTGAAAAAATATTTTAGAAAAAATACCAAAAATAAACCATTGGCCATCGTTCATCATTCAGTGCCACAACATTTACAGGAAATAAAATAATAATAATTTTAAAAATCCCAAATAAGCCTGAAATAGAATATAACGTCCCAGGATGTGTTCCCTGGGGTACTCCAGGGAAAAATACCAAATAAACAAACAAACAAACAAACAAAATCAATATAAAATACAATGACTGCCCAAAACTTATAATTCGTGCCAAAAAAACACAGAATCTTTCTGTGTGAGTTCCTCACAGACCAACTTCTCCACTGTGTCTTTGTTGGTGAAAACCTTGATTTAACACTGTTTCATCACCAACTGCCCTGCAGGAACGTGGACGTCCATTTAATCTGCCCCGTACACAGCTGTTAGTATTCTGGTCACTGCTCCGACCGTGTGCACCGCCCTTATTACACCGGCAGCTCCGGTGTAGAAGTGCAGTGAGGAGGAAGGAAGCACGGTGACAAGACAATGGATGAGAGTAAAGTGTCTCGTTGTGTCTTTGTCGTTTTTGAGGCTCCAGTGAAGCGAGAATGTGAGAGGGGAGAAAAAAAAAAAAACAGGGAAGTAACGACAGTGATGTGGACGCTAGCGTTTCCTTGATGTGTTTGACAACCAAGGTACGAAACCCGGATGATTTTGGACTGGGGACAACGGTTGGACGTCAGAGTATATTTGGGTTTCAAAAGATGAAAAGTTGAAAACCTTCCTCTGTTGTTGTCCGTCCTAGAGCGAGGACAGTTTGTTTTCTAACAGCACGACCAGGGTCAGTCAGTAATGGGCCGTCTTGTCAACTGACATCCTGAATTTTTCACTGACAAAAATACAAAACTTTAAGACAAGGTTTTTTTTTTGCAGACTCATTTCTTTAATTAAAAAGAAATGAAAGAAAAACTTGAAGACTTCTCTTTTCTTCTTCAGAGTTTTTTGCCCTCTGGTTAGTCAGAGGAAATGAGGAAAATAAACAGAGAGACAGGAAGTTGAAAATGACTCACACTGGTGAAAACGTTTTTTTTTTCGTAGGACTTCAGTTTTCTAAATTATTTTGTTGTACATGACTACGGGTGTGTATCTGGTGATACGATACGTATCGAAACACGGCGGCAACGATACGATACACTGCGATATATTGAATTTTTTTAAACATGTGAAGCACACTGTAATTTTGACCTCTTTAATGCACGGTCTGAGTGTCACCCCTAGTGGACAGGTTGTTGTGAGTCAGGCAGTGAAGGATGTGGTAGAAAACCACTCTCACCTTCACTTTCCATCAGCTCTGATGGACACCAGCGCTGATGGACACCAGCTCTGATGGACACCAGCTCTGATGGACACCAGCGCTGATGGACACCAGTTCTGATGGACACCAGCGCTGATGGACACCAGTTCTGATGGACACCAGCGCTGATGGACACCAGCTCTGATGGACACCAGCGCTGATGGACACCAGTTCTGATGGACACCAGCGCTGATGGACACCAGCTCTGATGGACACCAGCGGCCCAGCGTCTGCGGCCGATGACTCAGCGTTGTGTTTAATGGAAAGCTTTTAGCTGCTTCTGAATCCTCCCACCACTTACAGAAGAACTAAAGAGCTCAGCAGAAGAGAAGATTATCAACCCCAAACATCTCCTGACTCCACAGCTCCGTCAAACTCTCTCTCTCTCTCTGTTTTTTTGTTTTTTGTCTGTAGGCTGATGGGTTTTCGGTGTTTGTCGTGACTGTCTTTCTTTTACTGGTCTGACTCACTTGTGTTGTTTGGTGTCTTCACCTTCACACGGCGGCGGCTGCTGGGTTTTTTTCACAGAACAGGGACGGACGTTAGACAGAACAAAAAAAAACACCCGTTATTAACTCAGCAGCAAAAAAAAAACGGAACTTGTGGCATTTCTCTGAAATAAAAACCAAAATGCTAATGTTGTGTTTCTCTATTTCTTTTTTTTTCCCGTACAGGAAGTATAAAAGGAGCGACTATCGTGGACGCACTGGATACTCTCTACGTCATGGAAATGTTTGAGGAGTTTGATGCAGCCACAGACTGGGTGGAGAAGAACCTGGACTTTAATGTGGTATGAAAAATACATTGACGCCAAATCGGCTTAATATTAACAGAAATATAAATAATAATATGAAAATAATTAATAATACTGATGCTTACAGTGTCTACAAACTCACGAGCTTCATGTGAGCATTAAATAATTGTCAAAGTCAGTGAATAATGAATTACCAATGACAAAATTAATGACAGAAATTAATCAGAAAAATAATTTAATTAATTAAAAATTAATCAGAAACCCAGAAAATAAAAAAGTTAGAAATAATAATATATATAATCTATAAGTAAAAAGATCATTTTAGTCCCAGGCTGCATTTTGTTTTTGTGACCTTGTCAGAAAACACAAACCTGGTGAAGTACTTTAAAAAATGAGACCCCCCCCCCCCCTCCTCCTTCTTCCAATCCTTTGAAAATAAAAGCTTCTTCTTTTTTTTTTATCCTCATAAGAGAAAATTAAAAAGTGATTGTAATTACACCACAGCCATTTCACAAAGAACATAATAGGCTTTTAAATTTGTGGGTGTTAATTTCAATTTGGTAATTTTATCCTTCTTGTTAAACATAATTTCATTACAGCCGGTGATGAGCTCCGTCGGTCATGGTTCACAATACCAAGTGAAACCAATTTGCTGCTACATTTTCAGTTTTGGTGGCAGCAGCTGAGTGGAGTTTAAATGTCCTTCTGGAGGGAAACTTCTTCTTCTTCTTCTCATCATCATCATCATCATCATCACAACATCCACCAGAAGAGTGTGGATGATTGTAGTTTATAGCTTTTATTATCATTTATCATTTGGCCACACATCACCTACAGATTCACTGTTCAATTCCACGTTACTCTAAGACGGGGCGGGGGGGTCAAACTCATTCTCACCGGGGGCAACATCAGTAATACAGTTCCCCTTGAAGGGCCCGTTGGGTCATTAGGTCGTTTGGTACCGAGCCGCAGTGGGACACAGTGGAAAAAAAATGTACCATATTTTTACTAATTTACTTCATTCAAAGAAAATCCAGTCATATCCATTTACTTTTTTTTTTTTTTTTAAGTTATTCTTAAAAACGGAACAAAAAAGGTCGGGGGCCGCTGGTATAGATGTAACTACTCCATAACAGACTAAAACTTATTTCTGCTATTGATTATTATTCATTCAAGCTACAAATATTGTTCATTGCTGTGTAATAAAAAAAACTTTTAATTACTTAGGTTCAGAAACTCTGCTGCATGGACTTTACTAAATGCTTTTCTAAGCTCCCGCGGGCCACACAAAACGACTTGGCGGACCGCATTTGTCCCCCCGGGCCTTGAGTTTGACACATATGCTCTAAGAAATGAATGAAAGTCTCTAAATATTAATGTGAATTCAAATGCATTAACGAGCCTAACCCCTGGGGGTCTAAGAAAATTAAATTTCACTTTACTCTATCGCTATTCTACAGCACTGTAGAGATTTATTTAGATTTTTTTTTTTTTTTATAACAGTCAAATATTCCTGATGTTGGTTCCTTTTATTTCTCCTCTAGTGATTCCAAATGTAGATCCTTCTGTTTCAATGTTAGTAACCTGATTCTTGACGATACATACTCCTGCTAACCACTGCACCACCATGCGGCCCGTTCCTCCTTCAGTTCAGTTCAGTTCAGTTCAGTTCAGTTCAGGCTCAGACATGTGTCGGTGTCGGTGAATCATTCAGCCATTGTTTTTCTCCTCCGTGTTTGTGTTTGTCAGCCGTCGCGCTGCCACTCAAACTGCAGCCTCACAGCAGGCGTCCCAATTAGCTTCCTCCACGTCTGTGTTCATTTGCTGCAGGTGGATGAGGCCGGTGACTCCTCGTACAGAGCTGTTCGATGAGCACGTCCTAATGAGAAGTCGCTGCTGGGCTTTTATTTTGAAGTTTTCCAGGCGAAGTCAGGAAACCATGTCTCTGAGTGTGAAGTCGTCCTCGATGTGTGTTTCCTTAAACTTTTCCCACACATTAAGGAGAGCAAGTTAACTCTTAGTGACTGAATGACACAATGCAGATAAAGTAGGTCTTTAAATATACATGTGTCTCTGAGGACGTCTGAAACTTCAAAGTCCAGCGCCGCCGCTTGGAGGACGCTGAAATGTCAAGGCAGTCACCTTGAGTTTTTTTTATTATTATTTTTTTATAATCTGTCACATTTTCGACGTGTGCTACTTTTGGAAACACAGAAAAGAGAGAGACAATAAAGTAGAAGAGACTGAGGAAGACAATGGTTTGGTAATTAAAGAGGACGGTCGGAGGCTGATGAGAGACTGTTTGGTTCCTGACAGGAAGTCAAAGACGGGAAGTTTTATCACCGTTACATCAAAGTTGAAGTGTGTATTTTGGTACTCGTCTACGAGACCCAAGTAGGTTCATACAGTTCTACATCTTATTTGTCCGGGTTTACGTTAAAACACTACTACAGACGTGGACAAACTATGGCCTGTGGGCCAAATACGGCCCAAAAATTACAGTTGATTTGCATTACAGCAAATCAACTGTAATTTCTGTCGATGCCACTAGAGGGCAGCAGACATCAAAAGTGCCAAATTATCTTTGAAAGTTTAGGTTTATTTTGTGAATTTAACCCAGCGTTGTACATCCAACCAATACTAAATCAGCACGTTCCCATTTTGAAGTTGATTATGAAATCGCACTGGTGAAAATATCACAATATTTCAAAGTATCAATATTATTTTTCTACCCTAATGATTGTTGACTGTTTGTTAGAGGCAGGAATTATTAGACGTACTGCTGCCATCGTTCTACTTAATGGCTTACGAAGTGTAAACAAACTGATTAATCTAAATGAAATTATCGACACGACAACCCCTGCTGGAGCTATTCTGATTGGATCTTGTCCTCGTCAATGTCAGTTTTAGACAGTGAGACTGTGTCTAAATACTCAGTCCGTCTATTTCTGGGTGAAAAATCCCACAGCTAATTTGACAAACAAACCTCGGCTGGACCGTTCGTCTGAGCAGGAAAACAATGAGGCTTTTATTCTCCCTGTGTCATTGTTTGTGAACAGCCGTCCTAAAAACTGCGTTTCCTGTTTGACTGACAGCTCCCATACGTCACTGACGCCGGAGAACACGCAGGACGACAGACTGTTTCCTTTGGCAACAGACAAATGATGTGTCAGACAAACGAGTCCTGTCACTTCCTGCCTGGGCCGCGGTGACAGATTGACTTGTCAGATTGTGTTGGTAATTTTTTGTAATTAAAATCAATTTCTCTCTCTCTGCACCACAGATGGTGAAAAAAGCCATTGTTCCTCCGCACTGTTAATGAGGAAGGAAGTTTTCAATAGGCCAAGGCCGGGACGTAGCTCTATAAAAACAAGTCATTTCTGGATTGAAGAGCTTCTGCCGCTCCATCCTTCAGAGGCCGACGGCTTTAAAGCCCCGGGCTTTAAGAGACTCGCTGAGTCAGCGGTCGTGTCGTTGTTATCTCCCCTCTGCAAGAGGCCATGACAAAGCTGGGAGGGTGGAGGTCGAGTCCCCTGGTGGTGCAACATTTAAGTCGTGACAGCAGCTTTCAGAGTGGAAATAATCCAGGAGAGTGAGGCTGGTCCTTTAAGGACCAGGAAACTGCCGCAGCTGGACGTAAAAATATCAGACTCCCAAATATATGAACGGAACTTAAAGGAAAATATTGACCCTAGTTGTAACCAGCTCATCTTCATGGTAAAAAAATAATAATAATTTTAACGGTCACGGGTTATTTCTTCTTAAGACTGTAGAGTGTGTAACATATTATTTAAACTCACTGGCGCCACCTCTCTAAAAACAGTTAAACACACAATCTCAAGAAAAAAAAATATTTATAAATAGACAAAAGAGTGTGAGTTTCATGTTGATTCAGTTTTACGGCTTTAAAGACCCACCTTCAGTGTTCCCATGGACCCTGAAGGAGCTCACGGACCCTATGTTGAAGACCTCTGCTCTTGGGAATGGAGTTCTATTTGTTCTTTAATATTGTCAAAGTCACTCATCTTGAATGTCTTTTGTTAAGAAATTCTGTTAAACCAATACTTTGAACTGTGTTTGTAGCACCCCCTGTTGGACCTGCAAGTTAATATTTGATCCCTACAACCAAATATTGGCACAAACCTTTTTTATATATACTGTATATTCATAAAAAATGCAAAATGAGGAGTTTCACTATGAATTTGACACTCATTTGAAACTGTATCCTGTGTTTTTTTCCCCCCCGTCTTTGCTGCAGAATGCAGAGGTGTCTGTGTTTGAGGTGAACATCCGGTTTGTTGGAGGCCTGCTGTCTGCCTACTACCTGTCAGGAAAAGAGGTAAGAAACTTCCAGAAAGTTCCCTGCGTCTTTGCTGATAACAATGAGATGAAGAACGGCCGTCGCTGCCTCTGCTGTAGGCCGATTAATAAGAGCAGTGAAACAGAGCCGGGCGTTGACAGTGGAGACTGAGTGAGTTAATGAGAGCCTTTACGCTCTGGCTGTCCACCAATACCCACTCTGATTGCTGCTGGTCCAGATAAATGCATCCCATTAACGGTTGTCAAACTAAGTTCTGGCTGTGGTCTTTTAGAACACTTAGAAGAGTTTACTTCCAATCAGACCAAGGCAGAAAATTGATTAGTGGTAAACCGGCTGATAATCATCAACGCTGCTGATGCTGGACCTGGTCCTGGTCCTGGTGGTCTGGGCCGCCTGAGCCTGTGTTGGTATCCGTGTATGGGCTGGACAACAACATCCCATAGATTTTTTTTTGTTCCCCTTTCTCAGTCCTGCTGGTTCTGTGTGTCCCATAGATTTTTTTTTTTCCCTTTCTCAGTCCTGCTGGTTCTGTGTGTTAGGAGTTGGGGTGAGACCAGTGATAAAGCTCTGGTTCTGGGGTCTGACTCTGGACCCTGAGACCACAGATGTCACTTTCCTCTTTGTGCCTTTCACTTTACTTTGATTATGTGACTCTGCCTCATAATAAATGCCGTAGAAGCAACAAGGAGGAAACTGAAGAGACAGTCATAACAAATTAATTACCGTAACACACCTAATAGATTACCGGTAAATGTGGTTCCAAGGTTAGCCCTTAAAAAAATTAACTTTAGCCAAGTGTTGACATAAGGAATAGCATAAATATCTTAACATGTTCCTGAAAGTAACCCAAGTAATCTAGTACAGGTGAGTAAATGACAGTAGATTTAGAGTTTAATCCTGTAAATAATCTGCACTGGACTCACTCACTACAGCTGTGAAACACTGACCTTTGACCTTGCC